TGAGTTTTGGAAGGTGGGGATGCCGCATGCTGTAAACATATGCATGAATTTACTATGGGACAAAATAAAATTATGCATGATTTTATTTATTTTTTTGCTTTGATATTGGCATTATATATTGGCCATCAGCAGCCTTGCTCTCTAAATATCAACATCAGCCAGTGAAAAACCCATATCAGTTGACCACTGCAAGAAATAATGTCGGATTTTGTTTTCTATCACATAATTTACAGTGAATCAAGGGAGTTCTTGATTTTGATCTTACAACATGTTAACATATATTGACAAATATAATGTAATGTCAAGGTAATCAGTGGTAATTTTGCCTAGATGGCCCCAAAAGGGTTTTTATTCATTTAAATCATTATGATATTGTGAATAAAAGCATCTGGAGGTGGGGTGGGCTTCAATAACAACGCTTTAAAAGCAGCAGAAAGTTTAATGAGCTGAGGGTAGATGTTCAACATACCCCCCAGAAAATCATATACAAAACCACAAACTGATCAGCTGATTTTGGTCCTCTGATCCTTATTTCAGACAACGTCTTGATTCTTAAAAACTGAGCACTGCTGGCCTCCAAAATATAGATACACCCTTACAGAGCAAAGAATATCACTTTACAAAATGCCAACAAGTGTGTAACTGAAGCACATCTGATTTTGAATTACATGTATTCCAGCAGGTTGCGGTGTGGCAGTGCGGTACAGTGCTGCACCCTACTGGCTTTGCTATAGAAAATATGAACAGGCTGTGTTACTGAAACATGACGCCGGCTCAGAGCTGGGAGAATAATGGATCTCTAATCAGCGGCAGCCTGGAGGTCACAGCAGCTGAGTGAACCTTTTAAACATGTGAATGTGAGTTTCTGAGCGGCGACCAATGAGCGTTTGAAGCGTCCTCTACGTCATGACGTGAGGAAACGACCCATTCTTTTAACTTTCACTTTCTCTTGACTGTAAATTGTGAGTTTCATTTTTACCACCGTAGAATAAGGCGGACGTACGATCTACACTACTTTTATTTTGGTTAAATAATTGACGGCTAACTTGAGTAATAGCTGTTTTCTTATTAAAGTCGATCAGCTCAAAGGTTTGTCTTTCTCTTTCCTCCCACCGCCTTCTCTTGCGTATATATACACACTCAAGTATAGGCTATAACATACGTTGAAATACAGGTGATACTTTGACATTTTTCTATGTTTGTGTCCTCTCTCTTTACAGGTGAAGTCATGTCAGTTTTACTACAGAAAATAAGGCGCACCAACCCATCAGTAGCCAAGGCATTAGAAGGTAAGTGGCCGTTTTAAGAGAGGATTATTGTATGAAACAGAAAGTGTGGGTTCAGTTTCATAAACACAGAAAAAGAATACTTTATTTGGTAAACAGAATTGTTGTGGTGAAATGTAACTAAGTACATTTACTCAAGTACTGTAGACTAGTACAGCTTTGAGGCACTGAGGTACTATGAGGTACTATGCTACTTTGTACTTGTACTCCACTACATTTCAGAGTCAAATATTGTACTTTCTACTCACTGTTACACTTGTCTGACAGCTTTAGTTAGTAGTGAGTTTTCAGATTACAAGTTTTTATACCCTTCCTGTTCAGAGAAAGTTGGTGACTTTTATTTTCGGACTTTCAAAGCCAGAATGTGTGTGATTTTCCTAAAACCAATGTATAGATCTCATAGATCTTCGGGGACCCTGCCCTCTGCCTGTATTTTCTTGGGTTCTTGCCCCTAGCCACTACCTCTTTGTCTGTGTCATGGATGTATAAAGAGCTGCAGGTCTGTGAATCTGTTCACTGTTTGACCAAGGGCTGAGAGGCCACAGCAGGCAGAGTGAAGCTTTCCCTTCTGCACAAAATTTGGCAATGCGGCACCTTCCTGCAGGGTTGTGCAAAGGTGTGGCCAGAAAATATTTTAAATAAAAAATGTATCTCTGCTTTGTTTTCACTAACGCCACTCCTTCTCTTCATTCCTTCCTTCATTCTCTAGCTCAACCAC